ATGTTTTCACTCCCAGGTGACTTCTGGCTGCCTGTCTTGCAGGGGAAACTGTGGCTTGCCAGTGCTCAGTAATTTGCCGCAATTCACAAAACTTGGAACTGAAAAGTCCAGGACGGGACACACGTGGAGTCAGTTTCTACAACTCAGAGCCTAGGACAGGTATTTGTTGGCTGTCTGACGCTGTGGACTCCGCCCACCCAACACTCCTTTCAGGTTGTTCGGTTTCGGACTCCGCCGGCTCCAGAGGTGCCCAGGCCCCTGGCTCAGCTCCGAAGCGTCATGACTGAGTGGAGTGTAAGCATCTGGCCCAGGTCAGGGTGACTCACCGCTGGGATTCAGCCAGCTCTGCTGGATTTGAACTGGAGCTGCTGCAGCCATCACTGGCCAGGAGCTGAGCCAATGGCAGCGCAGCCAATTCGGGCTGAGAAATGCCGAGACCAGAGCCCAGCGACACCTCTGGGTCCTGGACTTTGCAGAGATCCAAGCTGCAGGTCCCTTTAAGGTGAAGCCAGTTTGAGCCACTTGCAGCCTGAGAGTTGTGACTGATGACAGTTTTTCTTTCCAGAATGATAAGGCTCAGAGGCCCCTAGGCAGGGTTTTGTGCAGCCAGAAGGGTTGAACTTCCGCCCCACCCTCAGCGCTGAATTTGAATGACGTTTATGGGTGAGCACTGGCTGGTTCTCACCCACTCACCTGCTCCCCATGGTGTTATGAGCTCTGTTGCCTGCCAGGTACCTGAGAGCATCTTAGAATGAGCCACCTGCACCGTCCTGCAGCCCACATTGATCTGGCCTTCCATGGACGCCCATAGCATGCAGGGTCACTGGGTCTTCTGAGTATCTGCCAAGACACAGGTCATCTTTCACCCCCTCCCAACACGCACACAATATTCTACTTTTCATACTATTGTAGCAGCGTCGCAGATGCCCTACTTGGACATTGCTCTTTCCCTTTTTTTGGTACCAGGGACTGAACTCAGGATCTCGTGCTCACCAGCGCTGTTCTGTTGAGCTACATCCCCAGCCCCTGCTCTTTCCTTCTTAATCTGTTCTACACCCACAAGGCACTGTTTTCAAAAATAAAGGCAATCATTTTCATGTGCAGAGGCAAAATGACCCCAGGCAGTACTGAGTGTGACTCAAATGTTAACACGCATGCAAAACTCCTGGTCAGCTTCGCACAGTGTAAGTTTGACTTCAGCAGCCCCAGTGTGGGGCCCTGCACCCTGCATTTCTAACAAGTTTCCAGGTTTGCACTCTGGAGTAAAGATGAAGGAACAGGCAGGGGTTTTAGAGTCAGAGAGACCTCGGTTCGATACCTGGATTGGTCCCTTAGTGTTATGTGAGCCTGGTAAGTCACTTAACCACTGCATAGCAGCTTTCACGTGCTCATCTGCAAAATCAAAATTATATACCTACCTCAAGAGATAAACCTTAAAGATCAAATGGGATAATATCCATAGATCACCAGACAATTATTTTTTGAGATAGGGTCTCACTGTGTAGCCCAGGCTGGCCTTGAACTCATGGCCATGCTCCTGCCTCAGCCTCCGGAGTGCTAGGATTATAGCCATGCACCACCATGCACAGCACCAGACAATGAATAAAGGCTGGTTCTCTTCCCTTTTGCTCAGGGGCTCTCAGCCTTGGTGTGTTGGCATTTTAGGCTGGATGGTTCCCTATGATGCAGGGGCTGCACCTTGTGTACTATGAGCTGTTAGTAGTGACCCTGGCCTCTACCCACTGGAGGCCATCAGCTGCAACACCAAAACTGATTCCAGACAAGGCCAAATGTCTAGTGGGTAGGGGACAGATTGGCCCTGACTGAGAATCCTGGCCCTGGGTCCACATGTTAACTGCCTGGTGTTCTGAGTCTTCTCCGAGCTCCTTAACTTCCTAAATAATCTTTCCCAACCCATTCTTGGCTTCTATTTTGTTTCAAAAATCCTCAAAATGGAAAAAATACATGTTACAGGAATAGGATAATAATTTTAAACACTCAAGGAGTATTTTCAATCATTTAAAAATTCCTTCACAGGGCTGGGGATTTAGCTCAGTGGCACTGAGCCTGCCTCACAAGCACAAGGTCTTGAGTTTGTTGTTGTTGTTGTTGTTGTTGTTTTGGTACCGGGGATCGAACTCAGGTCCTTGTGCATGCGCAGGCAGGTGGCGAAACCACTGAGCTAAATCCCCAGCCCCAAAATGCTAGCTAGCTATTTATTTATTTATTTATTTATTTATTTATTTATTTATTTATTTTTGGTACCAGGGATCGAACTCAAGTCCTTCAGCTTGTGAGGCAGGTGGCGAAACCACTGAGCTAAATCCCCAGCCCCTAAGGTCTTGAGTTTGATCCCCAGTACCAAAAAAATAAATTCGGTTGGTCCCTAGAAAAACACAAAACATGAACCTGGTATTGATAACTGACTTAGCTGTCTCTATATTTACTAACCTATATTTTGATCTTTAAAGTGACTGGGTTAGGTTTCTCTATTACAACTGACCAGTCCTTGAAAACAAGCTCATCCAATGCATGGAGAACTCTATAAAATTGACAGGGAGCCCTTTACTAATACAGTGGACCCTTGACTTATGAACTCAACTTGTTCTTGAAGGCTGGTTGCAACTCAAGTTGGTCAATGAAGGCTCAGGCTCCTCTACACAGCCTTCAAAGTCTCTCTCCTGTGCACAGGCAGAGCTCAGTGTCCTCAGGGAGACACTGGCCCAGGATTTCTCAACCCCACCCAGGAAAGGATGCTGTCATGTTCCTTCCAGAGCTCTGTAAAGGTTAAATCTGTATCTGAGACCATCTGGAAGCACAAGGCCAGAATTTTGGTCGTAACTCAATACTCTGGTCCTAAATTTAAAAACTAAATTTCTGGTCGTAACCCAAGTCATTTGCCAGTCAGGCTGGTCGTAACTCAAGGGTCCACAGCACTCTCGGCCGTAGGGTCTCCAATCTTCAGTCTTTCCTTCTGGTCCACCCTGAGGACACCCCCCCTGCCTCCTCTTGTCTAAAGCCTCCAGCAGCACAGTGGCAACACTGAGGCAGACTATTTCCCTCTGTCCAGCTGCAGTTGGGGCCTCCAGGGCCCACAAACCACCGCTGTTCTGTGGATGAACTGGCCAGGTGGGCCACTCTGGGAGCAGGAAGGGCTGTGGTCGGGGAGGAGTCTCCAAGTGTTCCCCGGCAGCAGAGGAAGCAGGAAAGCACTGTACAGAGAGGAGACGAGAGCACCGAGCAGGTCAGTGGGGAGGGGTTTCTGGGCTTCACAGCTGAAGGAGGTGTTGGGTGCCAAAGTCTGTCTTCTAAAAATCAGAGTAGAGCAGATGTAAGGCAGAAAGCTTGTCTGGGGTTTTCAGAGGAATCAGGCACATCCTTCTACAGTCTCATTTGCCTTCTGTTTCCTCACACTTAAAAGACATATTTTCATCCCGGTGCACCCAGCAACCTCCACTGCTTTTAAGTCTTCCTCCTGATTATGTCTGCTATGAGCAGATGGAAATCTTTCCCCCAAACCGTTTCTTTAGGGTTGTCATTTGATGATGAGAGATGCCAACCATTTGAAGATCAGAGTTGAGAAGCAATCTGAATTAGGACTGAAGGAGAAAAACACTCCTTTGAGGACTGCAGGTGGCTCACGTCTCCCCTACTCCCCGAGGCTTTTGCCGGAGAACTGAGACCCCCAAGACAGCTGGGAAGTGGACACCGGCCTCTCCTCTCCCCCAGCCTCTGCTCCATCTTTTCCGGGCCCTTCAGCCAACTGCTGTCCTTCTGCTCAAGTGAATCTGGAAATTATGCAAGATGATTTGCTGATAGTGCAGGAGGAGGACACGTCCAGAAAAGAAAGCTGATGTGTTAAAGAGCAACATGAGCCAAGGAGGACTCAGGATGGTGACCAGAAGCCAGAATAAAAATAGGTACAAAGCTGGGGTCCGTGCAGGAAAAAGAAATGGAAGAATCAGAAGGTCCAGACCGAAGACTGTGGCTGGCAGCTGAGAGGAAGCCCAGTTCTAGGAAACTGGTGGAGGTGGGCAGCTGTTTTGATATTACGTATTGTGCAGGCTTTTACAACATTGCATTCACCCACCCAACCTACCCAAGGTGGCAGCACCCAGCCCCAGGGGACTCGGAAGCTCCCAGGGGACTCGGAAGCTCCCATCACAGCAAAGGGTACACAACAAAGGCCGAGCCCAGCTCAGTTCGTGATGCTAATTCATCCGACACTGCAGTGAGGGGAAGGAAGGAATTTCTCCAGTGGCGAACACTATCTCTCTTGGCCTCAACTGGTTTTCATAAGCCTAGATTTTAATTTAAAAATCACGAGACATATCAAAATGCTATTTAAAACAACCAAGTCCTTTGGTTGATTTACCAACCAACAGACCCACACTCAGACATGACCCAAGTTTGCACCAGATCAGACCCAGGACTTCCCGAGTGCTAGGCATGCTATACCACTGAGCAGGCTCCCAGCCTTTTTATTCTGAGACAAAGTCTTGCTAAATTGCCCGGGCAGGCCTCCCATTTGTGATCCTCCTGCCTCGGCCTACGAAAGTAGCTGTGATTACAGACATTTGCAACTGTGAAAGAGTCTGGATAGATTTTTTTTTTTTTGGTACTGGGGATCGAACTCGGGACCTTGTGCTTTCGAGGCAGGCAGCAGAACCACTGAGCTAAAGCCCAACCCTTGGATAGATATTTTTTAATTGACCTGTTTTTCTAAGGTACACTCCAGGAAGTTGTTATTAATAGAAAAATAATATATAAACTACAAGACTGTGGGTAAATTTACGACAGTTTGGAAACTTCTGACTGCAGGTAAGAGAGTCAAAAAAACACTCCCAAATTTCATTAGCAGATTTGGTAACATTTTATACATCCAAAATCAATTCCCAAGCAGGGGAATATGGAAGGAACTAAGGTAGGAGAGGGAGGATAACTCACAATTGCAGTTAAGAGGAGTCAAAACAAGGATATAACTTTAAAATGACAACTAATATCGGAGACACATTTATTGCTTCTAGCCCCAAAGCATACAAGTCCCGTGGTCTGGAAACACTGAACATCATGCAAACTGCTTGGTGAAAAACCAAAAGGTTAATATGAGAAAATAATCATGGTTGTCATCTTTGCTGATGGTAGTGGGGGTAATACAGTGGGATCAAGGACTTCTACATCTACGGTGAAGAGTGACATCTACTTCCATTACTCTGCTGTGATGGACAATTTGAAGCCGACCCCATTGTCCTGCCAGGATTACCGCACATAGCGTCAAATAGGCATCACATAGCCACAAAGGCAGCCAGGATTTGAGGGGACAAAACTCCAGAGAGGGGGAAAGGGTGGAGAAGTGAGCCCTCTATTCTCCGTTGCTTTTCCCCTTGAAGCATTTGCTGATTCTTATACTACCCAAAACCAATATTTTTAGTTGGGCAAAACTCCGATTTCACAATGCTAGAACTAGAAAAAAATTGGAGTTCCAGGCTCCCCCAAAGGGAGGAACAGGCCGGGTAAATACTCTAAGCTTCCTGTTAGATTTCTCGGTTGTTGAGTCTTGGTTAAGAAAGTCTCTCCCAGCCATATCTTTTTTTCTAAGTTGGAATTTATTTTCATATGGTATAAAATAGGAATTCAACTTCATTTTGCTTAACTTGGATAACTAGTCGAGGCTAGCAACATTTAGCAAATAAGCTCAATTCTCCTCCAACTGAAACATCACTTTCACTCTGTATTACACTGAAACAATGTATTTTGGGATTCTCTTGTTGCACTGAACTGCTGGCACATTCAACTGCTTGGTGATCTTTTATCCTTTCTGATTGTAGTGCAACTGAATCCTTTATTCTCATTTTATGATGCTGAGCCCACCTCCCTGGAGAACACTGAAAATACCATGTCAAACTTTTCCTAGTTTCTCCCAAAACCAGTTGTGGTGACAGCGGCTTCCAAACTGACCCCAGTGAGTTCCACCTGCCGCTGGCATTCACACCCTTGTGGACCCTCTGTCCCTGCCCCGTGATGCTGGGTGAGTTCAGCTTGGCTGAGTCACTGTGGCTCCTGCCTTGTTCTCTGCCTCCCATTGCTCAGAGCAGAGGGAGCCGGCAGCCCCTGGGGAGGGCCACAAGCCATGGGAGGTCTCTGGCCACGGCTGGCTGAGTGGCCTGACACAGGCCGAGGCTCCTGGGGACTTCAGCCTCAGCCAACATCTGGACAGCAGGCTCAGGAGCAACTCTGAGCCAAGACTACCCAGCACAGTGCTCCTGGATTCCTGATCTCAGATGGTTTTAGGGTGACTGTTACACAGGGCCCAGAAAGTGACCCGGGTTCACTGCTTTACATACTGTACTCCAATCCCCATGACTTTCCTCGTGTTGGCGCTGTATGCTTTTCAGTTTATTCCTACGTCTTATGGGGTTTGCCGCTGGGTGAAATTTTGAAAGACTGACATTGCTATGTGTTATTTTGCAAGGCTAGAGCAAGATAATTATTATTATTATTTTATTTTTTTGGTGCCAGGGATTAAACTTGGGTCCTTGTGCTTGTGAGGCAGTTGGCAGAACCACTGAGCTAAATCCCCTGCCCAAGATTATTGATTTTTATAGATTTAAGGGTTTTTTTTGTTTTTTTTAAACCAGTACTGGGGATTGAACCTAGGGAACACTGAGCTGCATCCCCAGCCCTATTATTTGTTTAATTTTGAGACCGGGTCATGCTAGGCTGGGCTCCAACTCTGCTGATCTCCCCAGTAGCTGGGATTGCAGGCATGCACTACCCTGCCCAGATTTATAGGTTTATCTTAAATTCAATAATTTTCCAGATTCGCCTATTCATTCTGTATATTTTTCTAAACTAGAGTCTCTTGGATTTCTGGGATATGTAATCATGTCACCAATAAGGCGGAATTTCAAAATAAAGGATTTTGACTTTTTTTCTAAAATGTATGCCAATTGCTTTTCTTACTGTTAGACTCTCCTAAAGAGTGGGAGACCATACTGATGATAGCAGGGATATCTGTCTGGTTCCTGATTCTTACTGAAATGATTTTTGGGGTCTTGTCTAGAAGGACAGTTGCTGTTATTTTTCCTCAGCTGAGGTCTGATTTCTATATTTAAAAATTCACCCTTATTACACATACAGAGTTTAATGACAATCAATCTCAAGCTCAAGAGTATTTTCAACAGCTCAAAAACTTCCCTGGCATGCTCCTTATATCTTTACTTCAGTTTAAATAGAACATTCACACTGAAGGGGCAACTCCACTGTTAATACTTGCTCAACTTCTGTAAGAACAGAGACCGTGTCTACTGTGTGCTGTTGGTCTTTGTATTTCCAGCCCCCAGCGTAATACATGCAGCATACTAGGGCCTCAACATTTTCTGAACAGTGAATGAAGGAACCAATCAACCAAGCAATTCTCCTCAGTGTTCATCCCATTCCTTAGTGTTCCCTGAGGCCTACCTGCCTTGGTGTCCCTGGTCCAAATCATCCTTCCCCACTACACCTCCCTATCAAAACAGTGACTCATGGCCCCTAACTATCTCTCTGCCTATCTGACTTTTCCTTCCAAGTTTAACTGCAAGGGAAAGCTCTATCTAGTTGCATTCGATATGCTCAAGAAGCGCATAGCAACAAGGTACCATTTCCAGCAGTGGCCCTGTGATCATGGTGTCAAAGACTAAAATTAGGAAGCAAGAGAATCCGATCCCGAGGTAGAGAGCTTACTAACCATCTGGACTCTGTTCCAGGGAAAACAGTGACAGATCAAAAGCTGGAAGAGGTGATAAGAACACGGGAAGAAACCACAAGAGTAGGAACCCGATAAACTGCCCACTTTTAGGTGCTCTGCCACGGATCTTGTCTTACTAAAGGGGCAGAGCTGAGGCAGACAGTGGCCACCCATCTTTGCCAGCCCAGCATTTTGTGCTCTGCCTAATTTTCCAGTTCCCACTGTAATCTGCAGAAACCTCTCCCCACAAGCAGCAGGTCTATTTTGGAGGGCAAATCTCATTCTCAGTTCCCTCCAGGTGCAGGACAAACCACCTAGCCTGACCAGCTAAGATGGCATTTGCACTTTGAGAACAGCTTGCTTATCTGTTTTTAATATAGAAATGGTGAAGAAGTGGAGATATCAACCGAAGAAAAGTGAAGGAACTCACCTTTCTCAAAAAAAAAAAAAGTCAAAACAAAGACGTCATTGAGATTTCCGAATGTAACACCCTAATATACTCTATTGTTTTATGTAAGCACAGAAGTATAAAACTTGCTTTGTAAGTTTGCTTACTAATAACAAGTTTCGGTAAATCAGGCAGATCTAAATAAGGCTCCCCACAATATGTAAACACCAACCACAGAATCAAGATCAGGCAGACTCAAATAGGGGAAGTTGTAAAAGACTGTGACAGATTGTCACTGAAAAGCTTATCTTCAGGAATTCTGATAATTATCTGAGAGCAAAGGAAAAGCTCCATTTCGCTGGAGAAATCAGTAACAAAGATGGTGTGCATGTCAGAGACCTGTGTGTGGTGGGGAGTTCGTGAAAACTAAGTGAGAGACTAGAAGCTACGTCAAAGGCGCGCGCTTGTGTGGAGGACTGCCCTCCCTCACAGGAAAGCCACCTAACGTGCTAGGCGCCTTGCCTAAGGCCAGCAAGGCATTTCTACTAAGTTACAAAGCTGCGATCCGGATCTCATTTGCAGGACCCCGGTGTAGCTCTGAAATGTCCACAGGTGCGTCCTTCTCTTTCCGTGCTGGACCGCTCTTGGCCGCCGCTCCCCGCCTGATTCGCAGCAGCGGGTCCAGGTCGGCCAGGCGCCCCGCTTTGGGCTTCACGGGAGTCAAAGGCATCAAAGTGGTGTGCGATCTCCCTCGGGGATGGGGAACCCCACCAGTTCCTTCTGCAAACCACATCAGTGGGATTCCGGCCAGGGAATACGCAGAGGCGAAGGGTCCGGGCGGCCTGAGTGACGCACGAGAAGCCAGATTCGGAAACGCGCGTTCGGACCAGAGGCCCAGACTCTGAACGGCTGGCATCCGGCACAACGGGTGGCCCTGGCTGAGGCGCGGAGGCTTTCTAGGCCCGCTCCTGAAAGCCGTGCAGACCGGGGAATGCAGGAATAAGCACAGATCTCTACTGCAAGAAGAACAAAGTGTAAATCTTAAAACATGGACTCAGTTGCCCAAACACACGCTGGAAAACCTGCGAGATCCAAACAGCGCCGCGGGCCCAGGACCAGAGACTACGGCTCCCAGCGTTCAATACGGCGCTCACCTCGTGCGTTACATGCCGGGAACTGTAGTTTCTCAACCCCCCCCCCCAAAAAAGCACTGGGAGGGAGTCTCAAACCGTCAAGTCTTTTTTTCAGAGGTACACCACCAAATAGAAGGGAGACTGCAAACTTCGCCTTGGGATGGCTCTCAACGTAACCCCAGGCACAGACAAGGGGGAAAAAAAAAAGTAGAAACTGCGTTGCTATGGCTACTGTTTCCCTTGGTCACGGAATAAACGCGCTCTAGGATCCGGAAGTGGTTCCGCAGCGACTCTGTCACAGGATAGACGTGCTGCGCGTTTACGTTCATTGGACGGCTTCCCTTAGGGGCCAAGACTTCCCAGGCAAAGGGGCGGTCTCGCGTATGAGGGGCCCGCGGAGCCATGTGATTGGACAAAAGCTGCTAAACGAGACCAATCGGAAGGAGCCACGCTTCGGGCTTCAGCTACCGCACCTGGACAGCTCCGATTGGTGAACTGCAGTCCCCCCCTCGCGTTCCCATTGGGTACAGAGGGTGCGTGGTGCGGCGCGATTGGTGGGTTCGTGTTTCCCGTCCCCCGCCCGCGATAAGTGGGGGTGAAAAGCGGCCCGAGCTGCTTGGGGTGTAGTGGGCGGACCGGACCGCGAGGCTGGAGGTGTGAGGACCCGAGCCTGGGGTGGGGGGGCGGAGGCGGCTCCTGCGATCAAAGGGGACGTGAGACTCCGCGGCCACGCCATGAGGGCCCTGTGGGTGCTGGGCCTGTGCTGCGTCCTGCTGACCTTCGGTGAGTGGCCCTGGGGGACCTGCCGCCCCCTCCGGCGCGGCCGCTTCTCGAAGGTTCTGGGGGCGTCGATCCCGGGAGGGGCCGCCCCTGACCTCGAGAGAGCCCCGGGCTGCCTGCCTCCCTCGGCCGGAAGCAGGACAACTGCGGTCCCTTAAGCCCCGCGGGTCGCGGCGGCGGGGCCCTCGCGCGGGGTCGGCGTCGCCGCCGCGACCTTTGACCCTGCGAACTGGGCCCCGGCGCCCTTCCCTTCTCGGACCCGGGGCCTGATTTCAGTGCCCTCGCCGGAAGTTGCACAGACGCCGGCTGCGTCCTGACCCCTCAAAGGAAGCCCACGCTCGGCGCGGTCTGCTCGGAGCCCGTGTCTGTGCGGCACGTGCGGGTCAGGGCCGGAGGGACCCGCTTGCACGCGCTCGGCTCGGAGGTGCTGACTCGGGACTCCTCCATCCCGCCGCCCTTATTTGCCAGCCGAGTTTTGCAACCAACCACTGCCCCGGGCCTGGTTGATCTTACTCCTTCTGCCAAGTATCGAACTCAGTGTTAAGTTTTCGTGTGTTAAACCTTCCTCAGGGTCGGTCAGAGCTGACGATGAAGTCGATGTGGATGGCACCGTAGAAGAGGACCTGGGTAAAAGCCGCGAAGGCTCAAGGACAGATGATGAAGTAGTACAGAGGTCTGTGCTCCCTTGAAACTGTATCGATAAGGCTGTGGGATCGGTTCTTCTCCAAGGGGCCAGATTGTGACGTCCCGTATTTAAATATAGAAAAAATGTTCCCGGCATGCAGTTAGATGCACGAGTATCTCCTCTAGTTCCTAACTTGCCCCTAGGAGCAACTGATCACCAAAACTGGCTGAGGTTGGGAATGAAGCCCAAGGAGAGTGCTTGCCTAGCACGCCCAAGGCCCTGGGTTCAACCCCCAGCAACCTCTCGCCCCCAGTGATTGTTTAAAACTCCTGGATAGCTGTATTGTAGAATACTGGTGCTACAAATGCTGTAGAACCTCAGGAAAGACTCAGTTGGTCTTGTACGCGTTGTGAATACTTAGCAGTATTTTGACTTCTTGGATCTTAGTGACAGTTTTGACATCCTTACTTGAGCATGCATGATTAGGACTTTGCTTTTTCATAAAGGAAAATTGGATTTATTTTTCGGGTGATTTTTAAGAACTAAGTATATCTAACTCAGTTGCTACAGTTATAGTACTGTTTTTTGTTTGCTTTGGTTTTTTTGGTATCGGGGATTGAACTCGGGTCCTTGCGCTTGCACAGCAGGCAGTGAAACCACTGAGCTAAATCCCCAGCCCCAGTTATAGTACTGTTATGAGTTGGCCTATTTATTAGTGATGCTTTATAAAGATTTCCATTTTACTCTCTTAACCCTAAGAGCCTTCAAAGGCCTCTTGTGCCCTCATCACAGAGCCTGTATTTTTGAAGAGAACTAAATATTTGCTTATTAAACCAATTTCCCTAGAGAGGAAGAAGCCATACAATTGGATGGATTAAATGCATCACAAATACGAGAACTTAGAGAGAAATCTGAAAAGTTTGCCTTCCAAGCTGAAGTTAACAGGATGATGAAACTTATCATCAATTCATTGTATAAAAATAAAGAGGTAAGCAGTTACATGTGGTAAATTTCAGTAATAGTTAAAGTAACTAGTTAGCAAAGCTTAAATGCCCAATATGTACAACAATTACTACTGATAGATATGGACAAAAAAAATGTAAGACATTTCTTCCCTTTTATTTTTCCCTTCCACATGTGTTCATGGCCTGGTAAGTACTGTAGTTGTGTTTTGAGTGTAGTCACACAAACTTAAATTTTCGTGTATTGCATGCCCAAAGATTACTGGTAGGACACTGGTGTTGACTACTGTTACCATTTGGGTGTCTCTTACATTTACTACAGTATTTTATGTGGGGGGTTGTACCTCCTTTCATGGACAGTAAAACCATCCCTGAACCATAAGAAATTTTATTGGAGTGGACTTGACACTGTCATCTTAAAGTTAATCTAAGAGTATTCAATCTGGCTTCCATTTAGATTTTCCTTCGAGAGCTGATTTCAAATGCTTCAGATGCTCTAGATAAGATAAGGCTAATATCACTAACTGATGAGAATGCGCTTTCTGGAAATGAGGAACTGACGGTCAAAATTAAGGTAAACTTAAGACATTTTCTTCTTTAAAAAGATAGAGAATTCATATAGGCTGGGGACAAGTGACCCTCAAGGCTCTGTGGTTAACTTAGGAGTCAGCAAACTGGCTTGTGTGCCAGATCTGACTTTGCCTGTTTTTATAGTTTTATTGGAACACAGCCGTATCTGTGTGTATGTTATTAATGATTGCTTTTGACTACAGTGGCAGTAATCACTGAAAATACTGCCTGGCCCTTTACTGGAAGGTTGGCCAAGCCCTGGCTTAAGTCATTCTGAGGGCTGCGATGCCCTCATCCTCCTGCCGGGGCTGATCAAGCAGCCATCTGGAGTGTAGCTGGTTGCTATGGTACAGAGAGAGCTCAAGAGGGTCGCATGCCAATTAGAGGCTCAGCTTGAAAGCTGCACTCCTGACTCCCACCTGGGACTCTGGCCTCAGTTAATCACGTGGCCTCACCTGCTCATAGAGGAGTTGCAGTCCTACCATGTTTCTGGAGACAGAGCCAGGAATATTCAGGGAAGAACATGAAGGATTACCAGATCCAAATACAGGAGTCCCTCAAGTTTGGAGTCCTTTTACTTCCTATCAAAGAAGTGGACATCAAATTTTATTTTTCTGGTTTTTTACCCCCTTCAGAACTTACTGAGAGCTGAGGATGTAGGTAGTAGTAGAGCACTTTCCCCTTATGTGTGACCTCTGGGTTCCATGGGGTGGTGATAAAACTAGTTTTACTTAGTCTCGACCTGTTTTGACATTTAGTCTTTGCTGCTTTTATTTGTTTGTTTTGGGGTTTTGTTTTGTTTTTTGGTGCCAGGGATCGAACTTAGGACCTTGCCCTTTGGAGGCAAGCAGCAGAACCACTGAGCTAAATCCCTGGCCCTTCTTTGCTGCTTTTATATTCTCTCAAATACGCTGAACTTTAAAATAGTCTTTGTGAAGAAAGATACATGTACTTGAAAGATTTGCATTTTCTAGAAAGGCCATAAAATACTCAGATGAGAATAAGATCTACATAGTTTCTTATGTTGATGCAGCCGCATAGGGTCTGCTGTTGGCGCAGCAGGGCAGTACACAGGAATACCGATCTGGTTCTTGTCTCACCCTCAGTGTGACAAAGAGAAAAACCTGCTGCACGTCACGGACACCGGTGTAGGAATGACCAGAGAAGAGTTGGTTAAAAACCTCGGTACCATAGCCAAATCTGGGACAAGTGAATTTTTAAATAAAATGACTGAGGCCCAAGAAGATGGCCAGTCAACCTCTGAACTGATCGGCCAGTTTGGCGTTGGCTTCTATTCCGCCTTCCTTGTGGCAGATAAGGTTATTGTCACATCAAAACACAACAATGACACCCAGCACATCTGGGAATCGGACTCCAATGAATTTTCAGTAATTGCTGACCCTAGAGGAAACACCCTGGGACGGGGAACAACAATTACGTGAGTATTACTGGCTCCTAATGAGAATCAGGAGCCATATGCCCGGTTCTGGTGCTCTGAACAGAGGGCTTAGCTGGACCTAATTTCCTTGCCTGGAACATGAGGGATTGAGTTGTCCTCATTGGAAGAAATATTTAAGGGCCTGCCAAGGGCCGGGTGCAGAGAATTCTGGGTGCTGCTGGACATGGAGAGCATAGAGTAGGGGTGTCAGCCTCAGGGGAGGAGGCAGATGTCGGCCTCCTAGAGGAGGGGCCTCTGAGCTTCTAGGCTGGATGGAGGCCGGAAGCCATGGTGCAGTCACAAGATCTGCAGTTGGTCCTGGGCTTGGGTTTGGACTGCAGAAACCAGGGTGAGAGAGAAGGGGCTTTAAAAATGTGAATGAATGTTAGCAAAAATGACTCATTCGAGGATGTCTGCAAGTTGAGCAAATTGGAATTAGATTTCTTTTAAAGCAGTTAACTGTTGCTCTTCTTAGTGAGTCAGATTCCTGCCCTGTACCTCTCTTGGTCCTTGCAGGCTATGAAATCGCTGGGAAGCTTTTTGCCTTTCTTCATTTTAGCAACTTTGGAGGTGAGGAAATTCTCTCCCAGGTCACTGACTGGGGCATCCTGCCAAGGAAGAGAATGTACCTGCAGCGTCTTTTTTTAATTTTCTCCATGTTAGAGTTCTTAAACCTTTAAGTAGGAGCTGGGCATGCTGGTGTGCTCCTGTAGTCCCAGCTGCTTGGGAGGCTGAGACAGGAGTCAGGATTCCTGCTTGAATGCAGGAGTTCAGGGCCAGCCCAGGCAATACAAAGATAGCCCCTGTGTCCAAACCAAACCAAACCTTCAAGGCTGGCCGGGGGTTTAGCAACAGTGGTGTCACCGCCTGCCTGGCAAGCGCAAGATCCTGAGTTCAATCCCCAGTACCACAAACCTTCAAGGCTGGGGCCGTGGCTCAGTGGGCACGCACCTGCCTGGCCTGTACAGGCTCCTGGGCTCAGTCTCCAACACTGTCCCCCAAAGCGGGCGGGCGGGAGGATAAACCTTCACGTATGAGAGGAACCTATACTTAGCATTTGGACTGACTGC